AGCTTTCGAGGCCGGCGGCCTCGCGCGCGGCGGTCTGCGCGAGCTCCGCGAGCGCCCAGCGGTCGAGCGCGTCGCCGCGCGCGAGGTCAGCCGCGCGCGGCATCGCGGCGCAGCCGCCGGCCGCGCGCACCGCGCCGACCGCGAACTTCGCTGCGTTCCAGAGCTTGTTGCAGAAGTGGCGGTACGCGACGACGCGGTTCACGTCGAGGTTGATGTCCTTGCCAGCGCGCAGGTAGCTGAGCAGCGCAAAGCGCAGCGCGTCGGCGCCGCACTCTGAGATGCCCGTGGGGAACTCCTTCTGCTGCGCGTCGAGCGCGCGCTTCAGCTCGCTCTCCTTCAAGTTGCCGCTGCGCAGGCCGGCCTGCAGCGTCTCGAGCGAGACGCCCTCGATCACGTCGAGCGGGTCGATGATGTTCCCGAGCGACTTGGACATCTTGCGGCCGTGCGAGTCGCGCACGAGCGGGTGCAGCACAACGCGCGTGAAGGGCAGCGCGTCGGTGAGCTCGAGGCTCAGCATCACCATGCGCGCAACCCAGAAGAACAGAATGTCCACGCCGGTCTCGAGCACGTCCGTCGGAAAGAACTTCGCGAGCGCGGGCGTCTGCGCGGGCCAGCCGAAGACCGAAAACGGGAACAGCCCGCTGCTGAACCACGTGTCCAGCACGTCCTCGTCCTGCTCGACGCGCACGTCCGCGCCGAACTCGCGCTGCGCGCGTGCGAGCGCCTCCTCCGCGCTCGCGGCGACCACCCAGCGTTCGTCCGCCGCGGTCGGCGCGCGCGCGACGTCCGCACTCAGCACGCGGTACGCCGGGATGCGGTGCCCCCACCAGAGCTGCCGCGAGATGCACCAGTCCTGGATGTTGCCGAGCCAGTAGTCCCATTGCTTCGTGTAATTCTCGGGGAAGAGCTGCAGCGCGCCGCTGCGCACGGCGTCCACCGCGCGCGCGGCCATGCGCTGGCAGTCGACGTACCACTGCGGCTTCATCATGTACTCGACGACGTCGCCGCTGCGACTGCAGATCGGGATCGCCATCTTGCGCGGGTTTTTGACTTTTCCGACGAACAGGCCGCGCTGCTCGAGCTGCTTGAGCACTTCTACGCGCGCGACGAAGCGGTGCAGTCCCGCGAACGCGCCGGCCTCCTCGTTCATGTAGCCGTCGTCCGTAAACACGTTCACCAGCGGCAAACCGTGCCGCTGCCCGAGCGCGAAGTCGTTCTTGTCGTGCGCGGGCGTGATCTTCACAGCGCCGGTCCCGTACTCCGGGTCGCAGTGCTCGTCCGCGATCACGCGGACTTCGCGCGCCGGCACGAACGGGTGCACGAGCCGCTTGCCGATCAAGTGCTGGAAGCGCGCGTCGCGCGGATTCACGGCCACCGCCGTGTCGCCAAACATCGTCTCCGGCCGCGAAGTCGCGACCTCGATCGCCTCCTCGCTGTCGCACACCTGGTACTTAAACACCCACAGCCAGCCGACCTCGACGGGCTTGTCGAAGCCCGGCACGCGCATCGTGCCCGGCTTCTCGACCTCGAACACGTCGACCTCGATGTCGCTCAGCGCCGTGTTCAAGTGCGGACTCCACGACACCAGCCGCTCCGCGCGGTAGATTAGCCGCCGCTCGAACAGCGTGATGAACGCCGCCTGCACCGCCGCGCTGAGCTGCGGCGACATCGTGAACGCCTCGCGGCTCCAGTCGCAGCTCGCGCCCAGCCGCTTCAGCTGAAACAAGATGCGGTCGCCCTTCTCCTCTTTCCACTGCCAGACGCGGCGCAAAAACTCCTCGCGCCCGAGATCGTGGCGCGAGACGCCCTGCTTCAGCAGCTGCCGCTCGACCACCGACTGCGTCGCGATGCCCGCGTGGTCCGTGCCCGGCACCCAGCAAACGTTGCGCCCGCGCATGCGCTCGAAGCGCACAAGCGTGTCCTCCACCGCGACCATCATCGTGTGGCCCAGATGCAAATATCCGGTCACGTTCGGCGGCGGCATGATCATCGTAAAGCGCGGCCGCGGGTCGTCCTCACGCGCCTCCAGCGCCGCGTTCGCGGCCCAGCGCTCGACCCATTTCGCTGCGTGCCGTGCGCCGGAACTTACGCTCTATCTGCTTCGGCTCGTACGCGCTGTCGTCTCGCTTCGCACTATTTGTCATATTAGAAATTCGAACAGCGCAAAATCTCGCCGTGGCGGTATTAAGTTTACGAAAAAATGGTTTTCTGTACGGCTGGCACGCGCTGACGCGCCAGCCAAAGGCGCGGTCGAGCGCTGTCGCGCGCGCGGCGGTCGCTACTCTTCGCGGCTCAGCACCATGTCGTAGAAGGATTTTGCGGACGTGACGCGCACGAGCCGCGGCTGCTTGGCCTCCAGCGCCGGCGCGGCGCCACGCGGCGCGAAGCCCGGCGCAAACGGCTCGCGCGGGCGCGCGTAGCCGAACTGCGCGCCGGGTGGCTCGCACGCGGGGTCGAAGCTGCCCGGCAGAGATTTGAGCGGCGCGTAGTGCTGTGGCACAGTCGGTGCGCGCGCGGCGCCGAACGGCGCGCCGTGCTTGGGCCCTCCGAACCCGCGGCCGTAGTAGGGCGCGAAGTGCGGCGGTGGCGGAGCAGCGCCCGCGTCCGCCGGCTCGCGGCGCTCAAACTCTGCGTAGCGCGCAGGATCCGCGCCTGCGTGCGCCGAGAATCCGAGGTGCTCGCTAGGCGGCCGGCCCGCGAAGCGCACGCCCGGCGGCGGGTATGCGGGCCGCTTGAAGCGCTCGGGCAAGTACGGCGCCGCGGCGGCGTAGTTGCCCGGCGCGGGCGCATTCTTCAGCGCGCCGGGCGGCATCGGCGCTTCTGGCGCGTAGCGCAGGTACTCCTCCGGCGCGCACGCCGCAAAGTAGTTGCGCTCCGGCGGCGCGGCGGCGCCGTAGCGCTTCGCGCCGTCGGACACCGCGCTGCCACTCGGATAGCTGCCTTCCGCGGCCGCGAAGCCGCGCGCGCCCGCATGGTCGTAGTAGTCCTTGCTAGGATAGCACTGCGGCGCGCCTGGCTTTGGCGGCGCAGCGGCCGTCTCCGGTGCGCCGTAGAGCGGGTAGCCGCTCGGCGCCGCGGCCCAGCTGCCGCCGAACTGCGGCGCGGGTCGTCGACCCGCTCCGTTGGCAGAGTTCAAGTAGTCAGTGCTCTCCGTGTACGCCTCGTCCTGCCGGTTAGACGCGTTCAGCTTGGAACCGCTGTTGAATTTTTGGTACATCGAGCGGTGAAGCGTCGGCAGCTGGATTCACCTATGCTTGAAAGCTCGCAAAGCCCGCCAACTTGCTCACTGCGCGCTGATCATGCTCTAGCGCAGAAGCATGACTTAAAATATTAAATATTATCCCACGTGAAATTGCGTCCTCGAGTTGAGCCTTACCGGAAGTAGTCCGCCAACAGCAGACCGACCGCGAGCGCAATGTAAAAATACCCAAGCAACCTTCGCGCTGGCACGCGCTTGCGCCGCAGCGATTCGTCCAGCTGGCCTTTGCTTTTCGCGATAAACCCTAGCGCGTTTTCGCTGATGTTCGCAACTGCGTCCGCGCGCCGCCTACCTACTGTTCATGACCTTTTCGTCCTGCTTCTCGATCTCAGCAAACAACCTGCTCGTAACCACCGACACCGCGTCAACCGCTTGTTCAATCGACCTGCCTCGCGCACCCGCGCACTTACTTGACCGTTTCGATTTGGCTGCGCGTCTCAGAAGGCTTCGCGATTAGCTTCTGCAGTCGCGCGCGCGGCGCGGCAATTGTCGCCGCAGAGTCGTGTTCCTGCAGCACCGAATCTAGGTAGCTGCCGCCGTCTTTCCGCGCTTTCGCGCCAGGCTGCGCAGCGCCGCGCGGAGTCGCACTGACTCCGTTGCGCGACGCGCTTAGCTGCGCCGCGGAGCCAGAAGGCCGGGAGGCGCACGCGTCGCGCTGCGCGGGCGCGGCGCAGCGAAGAGTTTCGAGCTCGGCGGAGACGTCCAGCATCGCGGGTTCGGCGCAGCTGAGCGCTGCGCTAAAAGACGCGCTCGATAGCGCCGCGCGCTTCCACCCGTCGGTCGAGCGCTCGAACAGCTTCGGAAGCTGGCTCGCAACCAGTTGCAAGGTTTTTACCTCGTAGTAGTACGTGTTCACGTCGCTCAGCAGTTTCTCTAAGATCGCGCGGACGCCCTCCAGGTGCAGCCTTTCGTCCTCCGACTCTGCCGACTGCGCGCGATCGAGCGCAGAAATCGCCTCTGTCACTGCCTGCAGCTGTGCCACGTACAGCTGCAGCGAGTCCGCGATGCCACTCGCGTTTTTTGCCGCGGCTCGCGCGGGCGGCGTGACGCCCGCGTCCGCCAAGACACCCGCGTACCAGTCAGCGAGCCGTTCGCGGTCCAGCACGCACGGCGCCGTAAGCGCAATGCACTCAAACAGCGATGCGATCTGTACTAGCTAACGGGGAACTTTGTGCGGTGCACCGAACTTACGATGTTGTTGTACACTTGAGCGAGCGAACTGACTGACAGGCTGACCGCGGGCGCGCACAGCAACTTCAAAAAGCCTTCCGTGCAGTCCATGAAATTAATTTTAATCCGTTCGCGATCACTTTACCATCCGCGGCGAACGGGTTTTTCGAAAATTATAACTGCTGTTAAAAATTGGCTGTACTTTTATTGCTGATAATAGGTTTTTTTCGCAATTAGAACGCGCGTCAAAATTTTGCAGAGAGCAATAATTTGAATATGCAGAAACACTGTTCCAGATGCTTGCCGCTAAACAGCGAGTCCACTGCGATCCCGAACGGTTCCAAATGCGTTTTTTGAAAGCTTTTTGTTTTTTTAGCGCCTCTAGCGCCGCGTGAAAGTCTGTGAACCGCGCAAAGTCCCCGGCTTCGAGCTGCCGCGCCAGGCTTGCCAGCTGCTCGCTGGGCTGCACATGGCCGATCGCGGTTGCGAGCGCCTGCAGCTCTCGCACGGCGTGCTGAGCGAGCGCGCGCCATTTCTTTGCGAGCGTCTGCAGCAGCCGGGTGCGCACCGTCTCCGCCTGCGCCGCTTCTCCGTAAAGCTGCGCGTCGACCAAGCATAGCGCGCAGTCGGCGGTAGCTGCGGCTTCGCTGCGCTCGCGCTCCAGAAACTCGGCTATCTCTAAGAAGCCGGCTTCTTTGGCGAAGGAGCGCGCTTGCTTCTTCGAAAGGTTTTGGTTACAAACGTCTGCTTGATGCTCGACGAGCACTCGGCAGCATCCGAAGTGTTCTGCGGAAGCCGCGAAGACCAGCGCGTCGTTACCGTTGAAGTCGAGCTGTCGTGCAGAGAGTCCGTCGGCCAACAGCGTGCGAAACAGCGCATCGTGCCCGAAACCTGCAGCTTAGAACACGAGTGTCTGTTGGTACATGTCCGCGTGAAACACGTCGAAGCCGCAGTCCTTCAGGTATGCGTACGCTTCGGCACAGCCTTGACGAACCGCACGGAAGATCGCAGTTTGCTGGAACTTGTCAACAGCTTCGCGCGCCTGCGCTACGTCGACCTTCTGAAAGTACAGTTTCAGCGGTTCGAGTGCCTCGGCTTCGACGCTGCGGTGCAAGATGCAGAAGGCGATGGAGCGCCGCTCGGCGATCACCGCGAGCAAGTCGACGGCAGTGTCCAGTGCCTGCAAGCGCGTTGCTGCCGCCGCGAATTCGATCTTTGCGAACTCGGAGTGCGTAGCCGCTTCCTCCGCTAGAGTGCTGAGCATGCCTCACAGCGCACCGCGCCGAATGCGCGGAGCGAAAAACTAATTATTTTGCGAAAACCCGATGTTGGTGTTCAGCTCGTTTATGCAGTGATCTCTCAATTGTTCGTATTTTTCGCGCTCCTCCGGCTCTGTCAGCTGCGGCTGTTCGACGTGGAGAAACACGCGACGAAGTTCCGCCGTAAAGCGAGTGCTCGCGCTGGCGTCGCGGTCCGCAAGGCTGGCAATCAGGCTGTAGGGCACGAACAGCGCGCCAGAGTCGCGCAACTGCTGCAAGAAAAAGTCGGGCAGCACCGCGAGCATCTCAGACACAATGTCGAGCACAGCCGCGATCGGTTTGCAGCGGGCGCCGTGCCGCACGATGTACCTGCAGAAACGCGACGCGAGCTCAAGTGGCAGCGGCGAGTATGCGTTATAGTCGTAGTCGTACAGGATGCAGAAGCCCTCGCAGCGACGCAGGTCCAGCGCGCGCGAAATGCGCTCGAGTTCTGCGTACGGAAGACGCATCCCGCACTGCAGCACGCGCTCGACGTCGCGTCGCACGCCGGCTTTCGCCTCCGCGTCGAAGAAGCGCGCAAGTTGGATGTCCGAAAAAGGCCGCACAATGTCGCGGTACTTCGCCAAATGCCGTTGCACAAACAGCGCGGCGTAGTGCTTGTTGAATGTGAATTCGCCCTCCTTGAACTCCGCGGGCAGCAGCGCTAGGAGAGCGTTGTACGCCAGGCTAAAGTTGCTCGCCGCGCTCAGCTTTGCGTCGAGGCTTGCGAACCAGTTGTGTAAAATCTCATTTGAGAAGTTCATCTCTTGCGACTGAGTAATCAGCGGCAACAGCACCATGCTGAGAACGACGTCAGTGTTGTCGAGCTCGGTCGCGTCTTGCGCGGCGTTTGACAACGCGAACGTCGCAAGCAGGCCTACCTGCACGCGCAGCGGCAGAGCGCTCCACGCGGACGCGCCGCAGCTGCGAACGATCAGCGTACTACCTTCCAGCACTAGACAGTTCAGGTGCGGTGCCACACCGGGAAGTTCGGCGACTAGTTGCCACAGACGTTGTGCGAGGTTCGGCGTACGCGCTTCCTCAAGCTGCGCCGCGGCCGAGGCTGTCGGCGTGACCGGCGCAGCGGCTCGCGTAAGCGCGGACAATAGAGCGCTGCAATCCGTCTTTGCGCTGTCCAGCTGCTCGCAGTTCGACTCAACGGCAGTGTTCGAGACGCTTTGCGACTGCACGCCGAAGGTCTGCAACAACGCGGGACACTCGCGCATCTGTCCGAACAGAACGCAAAGCAGGAAACAGTTGCAGTCATTCGTCGAGCAAATAAGA